TACACAGTTCCATGGTGTTTTTCATGAATGATGTATAGATTTTTATTGAAGTGTGTTTTGGCAAGCAGCCCACAGTAGTGTTTGAGTTGGAACAGAAACTGTTGGGTGTAATACATTCTAATATGAAGTGCTACCTTTATCTAAAGAGATTAACTGGGTCACTGTCACACAGCTGAAACCTAAGCAAAACAAGCCATTCTTTTTATCTTAAATCCTGTAATTTAATTACATACCTGCTTCAATGTGGTGGTAGTGATTGTCGCTGTTACGTTCACTATTCTGGCTTGTGGATTGACAAGGGATCCATATTTAGTCCACTTCACTTCCATTTCAAGTGATACTGGTATTTGGCATGAGCTCTGAAAAATGTTATAAATTCTCTCATTGTCTAACTTGTACAGAAGCAACCCCATTAATTATTCATCTTATTAAACTGGCAGAATGCCCCCAGAAAGCTTGCTCCGGGAGGTTACCAGAGCAACTACGCCGTGCCTGTGCCCTGGACTGCTGCCTGGGCAGGCAGCACAGGTGCTTGCAGCCTTGGCTCAAGGGTGTCCCTTCTCCATAGGTGACAAACCGACTCTGTAACTGCACTTCAGGCAGGACTGTTCTACCTCAGTAGGGCAGGACTTTGGCTTTTAGTGATAGTGCTGAGCTGGCTCTTTTTAGTAGGAAGACATTTCAGTAATATCGCTGGCACAGTAGAAACTCCTTAACTCTGCCAGGGCAGAATTTTGAAGCCTACAATCTTAAATATTTTTAGGTATTTCTTCTTGAACTGTCAAGTTTCTGGTTACAGAAATCGTTCACTGTTTAGTTGCAAAAGCATGCAAGAAACCTATATACAAGCTGCCGTTGAGGGGGTGCTGTCATTCAGCATGTGCCAGGCAGTACTACCTACCACCAATGGCAGGGACTGTGCTGCATCGGGAGGAAAAGGGCTAGTACAGAAGATGTTAAGAATAAATGTAGTGTTTGGGTCACTCAAGCATACTGTTTCTGTGCTTTAAAGGATTCTTGCTATCTTACTCTAACCTGGCATAAGAGCACTAAGGAGAAACATTGATTCTGTTACTTCACTCTTTCAACCTTGTTTCTTTTGTTTCATCCCATCTGAAGAGCAAGACTCTAAACTGTGGCTAGAACTCATTTTGTACCTAGCATGTTGTCCTGATCCATAACTGAGGTGCCTGGATATCAGCTTGATTAAAAGTAAACCCTGTCTTCTACGGCAAGAGTGAAATTCCTCATTTGTGAATGTTACAGGAGGACTTTCCTCCAGTTTGTTTCTGCATTTTTTTTCCCCGTAGGTCTGAGAAACCTAAGCTGATGCTGCAGTACAGGTACAAATCTCGGGAGAGAGGACAGTAAGAGTGAAGGCATGGTAGTGGTGTAACTTTCACCTGTTCTGAGATGTGGAGGTGAGTTATCGGCACCCAGTCGAGCACGTCCTGGGCTTGAGAATTTCCAAATGAGGCCACGTATTCAGGAAAGCTTTGTCCCTTCAGTAAATCTAGGAGGGTCTGAGTCAAAGGCTGGCATGTCATAGCTGCAGTAATTCTTCCAGAAAAAAAAAAAGATGAGTTAAAGCAAAATCCATTGGTTTGGCACAGTAATAATTTCTCCTTGCTCTCAAGCCTTCTGGCTACAGTTGCTAATGTACACAATCTTTTCAAGAGAAAGACCATTGTTAATTAAATGACATTTTTTATAATGAAATACTCCTACAGCAGTATAAATGTCCCAGGACCTCAACAGATCCTAAGGGAAAGGGTTGTCAGAGGGTTAAAAGCACTAAATCAAAAAAAAAAAAAAAAAAAAAGTCCTCTTACCGTAACTTACAGCCTGATATCATGTTATAACCAAATAATATTGGAGTTCTGGCTCCCTGTGCTGCCAGACAGTCCTGGTTGGATGTACTTTGCAGAATGGTAAGTTGACTGTATTTGTTAGTATTCTGAATGATGCCAGATGTAACACACAGTTAAGGGGAAATTCAATACTTGATGTATATCATGAAGAAAGAATCCTTAATCATGTCCTTAAAATATATCTGAAAATGCTATATTAGCTCAAGACTCCTCTTACACTGTGAAGAAGCACTAGGGTGTACAATGAAGGTCTAAATCTACCTCACAAAGTCCCAGGAGATTGCAGTCAGGGCTGAATCATTTGCTACTTCTAAAACATAGCCAAAAAAAGCACACTTCTACTTTTGTTAAAGAACAGATATATTTTTTGGATGTCCATGCTAGAAAGTGTTTGTGAAGATGGACCAGAACAAGTGCTGCAAACAAAATTTCAATAGGGAAAGGATATCCTTGTGGCCGGAAACCTGCTCTTACAGGCAGTCCAACAACATAACCAGGATTACCACTGAGAGGAACTGGCTTTGTATGTACCTGCAATGCAGATGTACAGTATTAGTTCTTATCCTGAACTGAAATAGTTGGAAAACACAGAAATATTTCACTTATTTTAGGATTAACTGCCTTGAACAATGATAGTAGTAAGACTGCTCTGCAAGATTATAACAGTTCTCTAACATTGAGGCAGGCTTTGCTTTCACTGGATACAGTTATACAAAGTCACAAGATGACTCTTCTAAATGTGAAAAACAGACTTTGGAGACCTTTATTGCCCAGTTCCGAAATGCTGCCTCATTTGTGTATCCAGGGCAAGTTACATTTTACCTTGCTGCTAACAATTGTTCTGATTCAAGTTTAATAAGTTTTGTAATTAAATGTCTTTCAACAAGTCATCCGTAACATCTCTAGCAGTTACCTGAGTAAAGCTGATTTCAAAGCTCTGCTGTATTGAAAGTGCTTCTTTGTTAATTGCCCCCAAGACAAAAGAAGCAGCTGCTTCTATTATTTTTCCTGCATCTGTGTATGTAATGTGATAACTCACCTGAAAATTAAACATTTTAGATATTAATTAGAACAAATACATAAGAGTATGAAACTAGAAAAAGGAATTTAAAACTATGTAAGCATTGTTTTCTTTCTTTCTTACTTAAGAGACACTCAACTATGTGGTGGAGATATACTATATCCTCAGTTGTAGTAAAGATGGGCCCAGAAAACAGGAGGAACTGAAGTACTGCTCCGTAGGTGGCTAGTCATTTTACAATGACTGTGCATTAAAAACACATAGACCTGCCTCTATATCCAAGATAGCATATGCTTTTATAAGCACTGATACTTAGGGTCTGATTAGACACTTTCCCTCCAGATGCTGATCTAGTTTTCTCGTACAAATTAAGACACATGGGGTGGAAATACTGCCTATTTATTCTAGTTTGTCGCTCATTTCCTGTCTGCAAAGGGAGAGAGTTTCAAGAAGAGCAAGAAAAAAGCTGTGGTCTGATCTGACGGACAAAAACATGACATTCACAAACTAGCCATGTTGGCAGATTTACGTATAAAGGACATGATTGTTACCAAACGAAGCCACTGATTAGCAATGGTCGGAAATGGATCTAGGGTTGGAGCCTCTTAAAAACTGACTTCTTGATAAACCTCTTCTATCAAGGTTTATCAATAATAAATTGATAAAATAATAATTGAGCCCAATGCTCATCTATTTAAGATGAAAAGATGAGATGATTTGCACTATGTATTCCTCTCTCTGCCACCTCTGTGCCTGAAGTCACCTTCTCCCAAGCATTATGTAGATTCTAAACTCATGTTATTGTCTGTTATGTCATATACACATAGTAATAATAGAAAAGGATTTCATCCTGTCTCCATGTTATGTTGCATACAGTTATTATTTTGTTGCAAAACACTCTCTTTTATCCCAAAGTCAGTGTTTCTCCTGTCACATTTGCTTTGGAGATGTCACAATGTATGGAAACTGTGCAAGGCCTTTCTCACATCTTTGTAATTTGTGAATCAGAAATTATTTGATGCATACATGCTTTCCATCAAACGTGAGGAGGAAAAGAACTGTCATACCTACCCCAAGAACTATATTTATGCACAGTTCATCCAAAATCATAGGGAGCCTGAGGACATCACTACCATTAAGTAAAGTCCGCATTCCATTCAGAGACTGGACAACTATGGAGTGGACAGTAATATTAACCTGAAAAACAAATTCATTTCATTTCTGAATATTGTGTATAATTATTTTTGGCCTTTTCTGTATTATTATATTTGTGACCCTTCCGGGTTCTGTTCCACAGAGACAGCAGTCAATAATCCTCTGAACAACTGCTATGTTACATGTATTGCTGAAGCTCAACAAAAGGTTCTATTTTTAAGTAACTAGGGAGAGTTACTTAAAAAGAGAGTTTTATATGAGGGGAATGCATCAGGCTTAAATGTTTGCAGGTAGTGTATTATCGTGGAGTTACTAAATATCATTACTGATAGCAAATGATAGAAATTTCTTAATTTAAAGATTAAGGATAAAGTCCCTCTTCTGATGAAGTCAGTGAAAAACTTTCACTGACTATAATTGAGTAAGAATTTTGCCCCCAGCTGTTCCAACTAAGTTAGAAGGATACTTACCATCTGATTTGATTTGGGTACCTAGAGGAAAATAAAAGAACAAATTCAAACAATAGCAAAGGTATGACCTATTACAAGTAGCAGTTAAGGCTTAGCTGCTTTGCCTATTTAACGCTCTATCATTACAGTAACTTTTACATCATGGAAATGATTGGATATACACTACAGTATCCAGGCAGTGTGAAAATAATTGCTATTCTTTGTGGCTAGCAGGCAAAATCTTATAGTCCAAGCCTCTTCTTACCCTGACAGTAACTAGAAAATTTCTTAGTGACTTCCAGCAGTTTTCCATCAGGCCTATCCCAATAAATATACAGTGCATTCAATAAGTAGTAGATGAATCTAGTTTTTCCCTTGGACACTCTATTTGCGACTCAGAACTAAGAAACACTGATAAAGTTTACTTGCATCAGAAAGGTGGCCCGAGAAAGGCATCTCAGTTTGGCATGACTGTTATTGTGCATCATAGCGTTTGACCTATTGAGGTCATCAGAGAACATTGTTCCTATTGCAGATACGTGCAAAACCACTTGTAACTATTCATAGACTGCCAGTTTAGGAAGTCTGCCAGGCTGTTCGTACCCAAAGAAATGAAGAGCTTTTGTTGTCCCATTCTGATGGTAAAGAGTCCATAGTTTCACGGTCTCTAAACAAAGAAATGAGAAGGAAGTATCCCTCTTGTTACATAGCACCTGGACATGCACAGTTGCCCCACTGCAAAATTTCCACCAAATTTTCATGGAAAGGCAGAAATGTCAGACCAAGGTGATCAATCAGGCCTGAAAAATACTCACATTGAGCACCATTTTATCAAAAGTTCTATTTCTGTGACTTCCCAATGAGTGTTTGATTCACATCTTTGGGAAGGGACCAAAAATTGGACTCTGACCATGAAGCAAGTTCTGCAGAATTATGACAGGATACAGAGACCAATCTGCTCATCTAATGTCATGACAGAGAACACATTCCTATGAGCTGGAGACCTGAAGATGATGCAGGTAAAGTCTGTCACACACTGTCACGTATTTATATCAACATCCTGAGGTACAGCTCAGCCATCAGAATCAGCTGTATGAATAAAAGTGCCTGTAAAGGTTAGAGCCATCCTTCAGGGAAGCATGCTGGTTCTGACTAGGGTAAATGATCACCACTCCTAAAATTCTATTTATCTGTGACTAGGGTGATGAATTATGTTTCTGTAGGTCATTGGCAGACAGCACTCCAGCCTCACTGCTGCCTTCCACTGACTCATCTTCCCAGCAGCCAGGGAGGCAAGCAGGGGCAGGCAGCAGCGCGTTGCTTTGGCAGCTGCACAGTACACACTAACCGTAGTATGAAGCACCTCAACGTTATATCTATATCTTTGTTGAGGGTTCCAAGCACGCCAATGGCCCTTGGGTCTGCTGGACAGGCCAGGGTAGGGAGCAGAGATGAACTGCAACAATTACAGACCTTCATAACACTCAAGTCACCCAGCCCGGCAGTGAGTATGGGCTCATAACGACGGGGTTTTCTGAAGGAACTGCTGCACCAGTCCTCTCACCAGGGGCTCCCAGCAAGCCTTCCTGGGTTGATGCTTTGCCATTTCTTTTGCCGGCAGCTCCACCTGCTGGCACTGGAAGGGCTCCCTACTCTGCCGTGTGACCACCCTGTCCCCAACACCAAGTCACTTCTCTATTGCCACATCCCATCTTCAGCTCCCTTTGGAAAGGGGAGTTTCCTACAGATCATCTCTAGCGTCTGTCCAGCCTTCTCCAGTTCTTGCATCTGATGCTTCCTGAACCTTCAATGTACTTTGGACAGAAGTCTGACCTCTCCTAAGCTGGGCCATTGTAATTGGCAAACAGCACAGGGGTAGCTTGTTACGTACCCCTTGAGGAAGGGGAATTCATCTTTTAATTCAAGAACATTCAGCTGCTTGGAACCTGTCCTGACACATGCTTTTTATTTTCTGGTTCTGAAGCCATCGAGAACTCTAATTTTGGTTGCATATGGAAGCACTGAAAGCCCTTCTGAGGCAGAGTTTTTTCCACCTCTTCCACAGCGGGATGATCAAAAGCTCACATTTGTGAACAACCCTTTGCTGATTTCAATGAGGTCCTCAAAGATCAGGAGAATGATCCCACCTGTGAGAATGTGAACTACTCAGTGGGCTTTCCTTTACTGTTGATAGCTTTGGAATCTGTGAGGAGACTGGAAGGGGTCTTTAAGCAGTGACTCACTATGGAGTACTAATTAAATTAATTTAAATAATTACATAAATTAAAAACATTTTAATGGTGGAGAGCATGCTGTTTCTTGACGACCTTTGGCTTCTGGAAGGAGCTATCAGATTAAGGTATTACATATTTCAGTTTCAATTTTGCATGCATGATTTCTTTGTCTTCCTGAATATCTGTAAAGGGGATTTATTTATACATAAGATATCATCCTCCAGTTCAAAATGGAATGAAAAAGTAAGCTTAGCTTTGCAAAATAACCACAGACTGGATTTAGTAGTAGGCTAGATACAAACAAATCTGCTCTCAGTGGGATAAAAGGTCATGTTCTTTGAGGAGTATAAGACTTAGCATGCGTGGGCAACACCTCACTATTAAAAACTGAGGCTTATAAGAAAGGTATATATGCAGAGGATTAAACCTTACAGGTTCTTCTTTAAGTACAAAGGTTTACCAGCTCTTTAAAACCCAGACCTTTTAGAATTATGCACTCTGGTAATAGGCTTCTTGGAAAAGCTTGAACATGCACAAAAGCATAAAACTGCTGCCACTGCAGCAAGAGCTAGCTCAGTGATACAAGCTTGTCTCTTCAAAACCATTATTTTTGTTGGCTAAGTAGAGAACAGTAAATGCTTCTGTTACCAAAGCTTAAAAGTAAAAACATTTCCAAAGGCTTTCTGTATAGAAGTCTGTTGCATAGAGATATTTTTTTCTCCCCAAGCCCCAGTTTAAAAATTCAAATAAAACATCATATCCTTTAGTAAATAGAAGTTACTTAATTCTGGAGATGCAAAAAGATATGTAATATCAATGGTTAGCTATATGTTTCAAATCATACTTACTGCTAAAATGCTGGAGTTGATATAGAACAGCATACTAACTGCTTGTACGGTGCCACATTTTTCCGCACTTAATGATCTAATGCATTTTGTAGCCTGGTTTACTAAAAAGCCTGGAAAAAAGTCACAAACTATTACTGAAGGAAATTAAAGAGTAATTACAAAAAGCAGAAATAAAAAACAATATAAGAACCTCAAGTATAAGCAAAAGTGAAGGTAAACATAATTTCTATTGCAGATAAGGTTTTATGTGAGCTATAAGGAATGATACAGATTCTACAGAAATGCTATGAGACAAAAGATTACTTAACAATAGAAGCTTAATAAAAGCTAGATGATTTATTACTTCATTTTTGAGATCTCATAAGATTTTTCTTTTCTTTCACAAGAGACTTCAGTTTTCTTATGGTCATCATCATGATTGTTATAATGCCATATTTAGTAATAACAGTGGGTTTTGGAAAATGCAGGTGTGTGGTTTTGGTTGTGGTAGTGGCTTCTTTTTTTTTTCTTCCCCCTCCCCCTCTGCAGATTTTCAGGAAACTGTGTGAAAGGTTAAAATGTAGGGCTCAAGCCTGCAAGTCTGACTTCACTTGCATTCAGGCTGTGAAAGGAACCTCATTGTACCAAAGGGACATCTTACAAAGGTTGCCCAGTTAGGTCTTGCTTTGTGTAATACCCTCTTCCCTCATGGTGTCACCCTTGTACTATTTTATTAAACCAATTATGCCAAATAGGATGTTTTATTATTGGATAAACAACCCATTAACAAGACTCTCAAGGATTTACATATCTAACTTTGAACATTTAATATAGATGCAACGCAACTTCTAATCTATGTCTAAAAAACCCCCAGAGAAACAGAAGCTATTTGAAAAACATTTGTTCATGAATCTTTATCTGAATATACATTTGTGTGGGGGCCAATTTACTGACTGATTAAGCCTAAGTCAGAGCAGAATACTCTAAAGCAAATAAACTGGAATTCAAATGCATTTTCTAACCTGCAGGATTCGCATCAGAGCACCAAGAGGAGACAACAGGACTAGGTAGTCTTAGAAATGCATCCACTGTCTGTATAGGAACACCATACTGCCAAATCAAACAACACATTCAAGTATATAGGTATGTTTCAGTCCATGGAAAGTTTTAGAGCATTTGTATTAACCATAAATTGAATAAAAGTAGTACTTATTTCCACTATATCTGTCAATACTGTATACCACTCTGTGCATCAATTCTTAAGCCACTGCTAACAGCTTTATGTTTACAATAGCAAAACAGCTATTTTTCAAAGATCTTAAAAATCTAGTTCTCTTTTTAAGTAAGCTAACACAAAACACTACACTTCCTATTTTCACATTTCTATATTTAAAGACCAAAACAAAGTTTGCCTTTTCCAGAAGAACTGCATTTTTTTTTAAAAGCAGACACAAACAATGCTCGCTTATTCTTTCATGGAACAACCTAAATGCTAATTGAATCAGATAACTATTTACCTCGTATCTGTAAGTTTCATTCGCATCAGAAGGGTTTTGAGCATCTGTGTTCATATTCCAGCTGTCAGGCTCAGCACTGAAAGAAGCACTTCCAAACTGTTTAAGCAACTGATCAAAATTTTCAGCAGTAGGCATTTCAGGGGAACTGAAGGAGAGTGCTTGTTTATCTGTCAAAACATTTTAAAGAATGAGCTAACTTTTAGGATAAAAGTTACAGAAACAGTATGTAGTAACAATTTTTCTTTCTGGAGTTGTTAAAGACTCAGTTACAGAAAAATACCAATGCAACTTTTCTTTAAAAGCTTTCTCTTTTCTTTAAGAGAAAAGCTAGGTGGTATCTTAAGCACAAACTTCACCCAGATCCACGAAAGCACAAACGTAAGGAAAGAGGTAAGTCCCTTTCTTTCAAAATCACATTTTCTAACAGCACATGTTCCAAAACAAAGATATGCCAATTAGTGTCTACAGTTTCCACACTAAGTATTCAGATGACTACTGCACAGTCATAATTAAATGAAGAGAACATAGTACCGATCACCTTCTTCATTCCCTGCAAGTGACTTCAAAGCTGGCCATAAAGGATTTGTACCACTGGTGACTATTACATAGTTACAGTAACAGATCGGGAAGGAGTCAGTTTCCCATGAAACAACTTTAAATGTGATTTATTGAGGATGCTAAATTCTTTACAAAAAAACCCAACCAAGCAAAAAAAACCCGCCACAATTTTTTTTTTTTCAACAAAGACAACTAAGAGAGTATGAGGTGTTTTAACTCCATAGTTTCACAAGTGAAAAGATTACAACATACAGTCTGTGAGCATACAGAATAACCAGTTTTCTGACAGGTTTAGTTACTTTTAATTTTAGTCTGTTTCTGGCACCTAAAGAGCTTATAAAAATAACAGCACAATGCTTAATATTGGCAACAACACTACTTACAGTTTGTAGCGTGAATGCAGAAAACACTGGGATTAACTTGGTCAATTAATTTAAATATCCTTTCTGGTGGATTTGCTTCAACATCAAGTGAATATATAGCAGCTTTCTGACTACAAAAACGGCTATCACCTCTGCAAACAATAATAAAATCAATGATCCACTAGAAGTTAGTATTGACCATATTTTACAGTTCTTTTCATGTATTCAGGCAGCATCAAAAAAAGCACTAAAGAGATTACTCTCTTTAACACAATTTGTATAGCAATTGTGCCTCCTTATATTGTTTTATACTGTGTGCTTAGTAATAAGTAATAGAGAATTCTCCAACATGTTTTATCTAGCAGAGACAGCAGTGTGAGCAGGAACATGAAGAAAGGGAAGAGTCAAACCAGGGGGAAGGGAAGAGCCTGACAGTAATAATATTGGAGCTAAAATGACAGGATGGATGGGATCCAGATGGTGTGAGACACCACAAATGCAGGCTGCACCACAGGCTATACACAGCTCAGAAGTACTTTTATCTATACAACACAAGTGGTAACTATGACCTTTAGGGTAACCTGATGTAGATCAGAAGAAAGGTCAGTTTTGTGATTATTGGAATAATATTAACGGGGGGCGGGGAGGAGAGGGGGGGGGCGGGAAAAAGTCCTACTTGAGAGTGAGAAACAGGGAGGTGAAATAACCCATCCAACCCATAAGGTGAAATAACCCATCCAACCCATAAGAAAAGTATTTGTAGATGTGCCATGGGTTCATCAACAACAGCCCAGAACTGCAGGAGGCTGCACAGCGAATGTGCCAGTTCATACCCTGAAGAGTACTGGTGTGTCCTACATGCTAGAAATACAAGATGATGATCCTTGTGAAACTTAGGCAGAGTTAAAGCAGTCAGGGACAGATACTGAAGAAGTAAAATGACTTTTAGAAATTACTTTTTAAGCACGGAGTTAAACTTTTCCATGAGGTGAACCATTTGTTAGTAGGATCACATCATAAATCAAACACGCTTTTTCTTCTGTTTCAGAGACCACATAGCCTCTCACTTGTGATCAAACCCTTTCAGTAACTAACACAATTATGCAAATGTATATAAATCTAGATGTAAATAATGAGATCCACAATACTTGCAGTCATTGAAAATCCCATGGATTTTCATGCAAAATGAACATTTTACACAAAAGAATTTGGGGAAAGAAACACAAGTTCATTTTATGCATTTCTAGTTGACAAAGACAGAATAGTCACCTGAGACAATTAAACTGTCACTCAGGAAGGTGTTGATTAGACCTTTCTGATATATATAAATATCTATAAATGGGTAGCAGTAGTCATTGTGTGCAAGAACAATAAGAAAAGGCAGTCTGGGATGACTGCTAATTCAAATTTCAAAGCACCGAGAATAAACCCGAGTGTTCAGATTGGCATAATTTATGCAGAAGGTGGGTTGAAGAGCTGTACTTGGTGTTCTGAGAAGTCACCAAGAGATTTTTACAATACGATTTTGAAGTGAGCTTTCTTAATTCCTTTTTGAGAAGATGAAATTGAAGGTGTTTTCAGATAAACTGTAAATAGTAAAGAAACAACTATCGGCATTACTTTATTGATATAAGGTTACATTTCACTGTTTGTAAAGTGACAGACTGGCAGTGAGGCAGCAGGTTGGGATGCTGACTTGTAAAACTAGGATCAGAACAATGCTCACGCTACTTCATTAAGCCCTGAATTGATCAAGTTTCTAGATGGTATCATAAACCATAATGAAAGAGGTTACTGATAAATTGCTGAGGACCTATGGAGGTGGCCAGATGGTCCCATGGTATCAGCTTTCTTAACTTCCAGACACTGCATTATATCGATGAAAGTCTAAAGATGCATTATTCTTCCCCCAACGGAAAGCATCACCACCTAAGCGCCCACAGACAGTAGCACAGTGAAAGAGGAGAAAAGCAAGGAGCACGAGTTTAGAAAAGAGGGAATAAGTGAATGAGAAACTGGGGTGGGAGGCCAATTTGCTGTTCTACCTGGTTGGGGCCAAAAGTTTACAGGCCTAGTGCAGGAAGGACTGGTGAAAGGTAGGCGGGAGTTAGGATGGCAGAGGGGAGGAGGGTTAGGAGTTGGTAAGAGGAGAGGATAGAGCCCTTACAAATGCATGCAGCAAATAAAACAGGATTTTGTATTTCATATAGCTATTTATCCACTTACGTGACAATAGGCACTGAACATGTAGTAAAGAGACTGAAATCTGCTGCACTGCAATCAGGGTCACAGCAGCAATTTACATCACACTGTGCCACCAACAGATCACAAACACACAGCTTGGCAACTGGAGGAGAGATTTAAATTAGAATTAGAATTGGAACTTTACACATTACAGCATGTTCCCTAACACCTTCATTTTTCACCTCGCCTCATTTTTGACAATGGTCAAAAGTCTATATCCAAATTCACGTGCTTTTTTTTTTTTTTAAGTCATTTTTAAAAGCCATCTTTTCTGCTACTTAGTAAATCTATTTGGAACACGGTAACAAAACCAAGGGCATGCTAAAATCTGAAGGTGTGTTCCCTGTGAAATCAAAAAAGCAACTTGAGTTAATAGGAATTTTGAAGGTATGAAAATATATTCAGCTCTGCAGAGGAAAAAAAAATACAAACCGGATATGCTTATCTACTTGTTTGAGCTTATTGGAAAAAAATGAAAAAAAAAAAGAAACATTTTGATAAAGCAGTGAGATATTTACAAGTATTAAGCATGTCCCAGGGTCCAGTAATACATTTTCCTGATGTGCCAACATAACCATAGTTGACTTTTTTGAAATTGTTTTTTTTCTCTGTCTTTAGATACTGTGAAATATTGTAATAATACAGAAAGTAATTGCTAGCAATACTGTAAACTGTCTTGATAAAATACATTTGGCAACTTCTCAAAACATTCTTAGGTTTTCAAGTTTATAAATTTAAAGAACAGATACTACTCTACTGAACTGTTTTTGAGAGTTGCTGTTCTATAATAAATCTAAACTTAAGAATAGCACAGAATGAAGAAAATTAAGACCAGCGCTCCGTAGGTAAGACATTCAAAGAACGCTCATTTTCATAACTACTGCTTCTTTTATTTCAACTTGACTGTTGCCCATTTCTCTATGGCCTCCTGGATGCTCTCTGACCATCTGAACAGTATCCAGGTATTTCCTGGAATCTCTGAAGTTCTGACTGTTCTGTCAGCTGAGTTTAGCACTGGAATCCTTAGCTCACCTTGTAAACAAGAGCAGTTTAAACATGGATGATTAGATTGCGCAGTTATGTCTCTGAGATCAGGGATTTAAGTCTCTTTTCCCTAAGGAGGCATGCACTGGGACAACATGTTTAATCTGGCAAGTAATCTAGGGAAGCTGAACTGATGGCAATAACACTGGGAAATCAAAAGTTAAATAAAAGTGTACCTGCCAATTAGAAGACAGTGGGAAACACCTTCTGATAGCACAGTAACAAAATTTGTAGTCTATATTGCCATAGCACCACTATATATCCACAGAGCTGGGGCTGAATTAGGCGTCTTGAGGCAAACTGTGCGCATCCAGCTTGGTGTGTAAGTAGAGATCTCCAAGCACATACAGGGTGAGCCTGGGTCTCCTCTGTGAGGCCAAGCTCTGCCCTGTGGGCTCAGAGCAAGGTGCTGGGTGGGCAGGAGAGCTTGCCCTCCATCAGTGCCAACTCACAGGACTGTGTACACTAGGATCTGCGTGCCCAGTACCCAAAGGCTGTGTAGGGGTTACTGAGCCTGCCTTTCTGAGGAGGCTCCGCGCCTTGGCTGGAGAGGGGTGCTGCTACAGAGGGGTGCTCAGAGCAGCGCTGCAGCACAGCCCCGGTAAATCCCCGGGAGCCCCAGCGAGAAGCAGGGCAGCTGCCGCGCAGGCTTGTCCCAGCCCCGGGCGGCTGCAATGGGAGCCGGAGGGGGACCAAGGGCCCAACGACGACAGGAGGTCCGAGAGAGGCCGTGAGCGGGACTTCCCTTGGCCCGGGAAGAGCCGCCGG